ACAAGAAATGGTCAGCTTCGGGGATTATCCGGGAGATTTGATACTCTAATCTGGAGACCAGGAGACACGGTCCAAAATCTGGAGACTCCCGGTTTATCCGGGAGAGTTGACAGCCCTGTGAACAAAGAGAAAATGAACGTGAAAGACAAAGGAATTTGAGGCAAAACTTCACGGATGAACAAAGAGAAAATGAACGTGAAAGACAAAGGAATTCGAAGCAAAACTACTAGCTAATGCGACTCTCAAATGCACAGAAAAAAATCGCTTTAGGGCAAGTTATAGACCAAAGACAACTAAAAAAACTTTCATGTATTCAAAGATGGATTAAGAAGTGTTCTCCAAGAATTCAGGTGTGTGTTTTTTAGCAAACCATCATATATTATTATTTTTTGACAAGCATTTTTTTCCGACGAATCGGCAAATCAAAGACTTTCCCTCAAAACTTTTAATATTTCTGTAGATAAGCTTAATTTATTTTAATGCTGGAGGAAATATAACATGAAGAGCATTTCGTCCTTTGTTTAGCTTTATAAATCATTAACAATTCGGTTGTTTTTAACCAACTATCATATGTTTTTCGTTCAAGAAAAATTCAGCTTTGCTTGCCTCCTATCGCGTGTCCCATCGGCAAAACAAAGCTGAAGACTTTCATTCAATAATGTTATATCTTTCTACAGATAATTTATTAATATATTGAATGAAATGTAAAATTATACCAAACATTCAACTGTTTATTAAGTTATTCGAGCTAGCCATGATTATACAAATGAGCTTAAATTTGTGTTGTTAAGAGATGATATTGTATAAAGACCTTGTCTTTTACTTTATAACCAAGCTAAAAAAATGTTCAAAAACATTTACAAATGCCAATTTACTGACAAAGAAATTAGTCATTTTGTATTTTGCATTATTTTCTATTTTGTCTCAGTTGTTCGTGTCAAGTTTAATACTGAATGCAAACTTTGCTTATCTAAAACTTTTTTCGTTCGTGATTTTCGTATCTTTGTCACACATGAAAACAGACAKGAAAACTGGTAAAATTGAATCTCAAAATTTAGTAAGCTTAGTTTTCAAGCTTCTCGAAAAGTAGTTAATTCTCATTTATATAATAGATTTTCACGAACGCGCGCTCTGATTGGCTGAAAAGCTATCTTTTATCAGAGTATAGAAACATAGATATGACGTCAAAACCATGTTTTCTATACAAAATTAAACATAGAAAATACGTCACAGGAATTCGGCTTTTCAATTTCAAGCATTTTCACATTTTAAATTGAAAATATTCATTTATCTTTATCAAGAATTATGTCTTTCCTCTAAAAAAGGAAAATATGTCGTTTTGAAGCACATTTGATTGGTACTACATGTCGACGAGTAAAGCTTTCTTTCGTTTGTGCTGCGACTATTACAATGACCTTATTTCGCTAAACTAGAAGCTTTTTGCTTGACCGTGATGGTGTTAGAGAAGTCAAAAAATAATTTAAAAATTTTTTCATAGTCTAACAAGAATGAGCAATCTACCATCGTCAATTTTACGCTTATTTACGGTAATTTTTTTACCGTAATTTGTTTTCCAATAGCCCGAGACTATGATTACGAAATACTACCTACACTACTATAGTTCAGGGTCAACTAAAAAAAACAAGTTTTCCAAGTACTGCACTGCTAGCTTTCTTCCAATTTTGAAGATCAAAATCGGCTCCTCGTCTCTCGGCTCCTTAGCATTCAAAGTGTTCATAAGGTGGTTTTCTTGAGTGTTTGTACAGGTTAAATGTCCATTTAACGATCTGAACTTTGAAAACGTTTTTTAAACTCTTCAGTATTTGAATTTTCATTTCTTCTAGTAGTTAAATGCTTGTTTTCTTTGTTTTTTTTGCTAAAATTTACAAGCAATTCTCCTTTCTTGTTGAACAAATGCGATAAACCAGTTGTATGCCAGCCTGTACAGATCTGTCATTACCTGTCAAAACTGGACCAATGAGATAGCCATAGGTCGCGTTTTTAGCCAATCATCGCATAGATGAAATTTGTTTGCGTGAGTTTGACGACAGACGCGCGCTCTTTTTGTAAACAAATCTTTTTTTTGAAATTTTACTCTTTTTTCCCCGTAAAAATCTATTATATAAAGTGAATAGATCAGGCTTAGCTGTGTAGCTAAGCCAGAACATAGCTAAGCCTGATCTATTTGTTAAATGAAAGGGATAAAATTATTTCAATGAAGTAATTAAGAAAACTTTTTCCTTTTAACTGATGACACATTTGGTTTTAAATGTTCAGGGCCTTCATTTCTCAAGTTTAGTTAGTTGATGATCTCCAAGCAATTTTCTTTTTGATGCTACCAAAGCATTTGTTTTTTTAAATTTTCATTGCGGTAAAAATACATTTAATATAAAAGCATCAAAATTCTTATGGTTTTCCAAACATCGTTATGTGAAAGACGCAAGTAAGCTTTAGTTTTTTCTCACCTTAACCAGTTTTCAAGTCTGTTTTATAGTCCTGATTTGTCCTAAAAGAATCGGGAATCTCCAAAATTTCGATTTCAATGAAAGACATCCAAGGTAAATTTCACTAAACCTGATATTTTGTTGGATTGTCTGTAGTTATCTTTCGTTTTTTAATTAGTTAACTAGGAATTCAAAGCTTAAAAGTGTCGGCCATGGAAAACTTTGTTGAAGAATGTTCAATGAACAAAAATAGCCCGTGGGGTGGCTGGTGGGGCATACCCCTAAACCCGGACTCGGACTCAAAAAAAAAAAACAAAAAACTAACTACCTAAAATGCATATATATATAA